ACCTGCAGAAGACCAGAGCTGTCATGTGAATATAGCCCTGGAATAAATCCATGAAAGGCAGATTTCATTTTGGAGATTATATTGGTGAAATACTGAACGTAGAAAACCCAAAAATCCTCTTTCTCATTCTAATTGCTTTCACAGAAACAAGAATGTGTACATCCTTAGTGAATAAGCAAACTTGCACTAAGAAATACTGGATTTGTGCAATCAACTTTTTACAGGCATAGAAATAGTCCACCAAAACTGATTATTCAGACCAAGAGGCAAGAGTATTTTCATCAAGAGCAGCACAGCTGCCATTTATCACAAGTAAGCGAGTTGCTTTTACTGAAGGAAGTGCTGACAGTGCCCCCCAAGAGCAGATGTAGCTCTCCCCTGTGGCCCTTTGCTGGTGGAAATATAAGGGGCTCCGGAGTGCCAAGTGAAGCTGTTTCACAAACCGAGTGCTGCTAGCTAAACTTCACATAGGGAAGTGCTGGCAGAAACCTTCGGATGCAGACATGGAAACCTTTCTCCTTCTGCCTGTTTCTGTCTATTTTTTCATTTTGATATTTAGATCGCTTCTACACTAAGGCTTTACATCTATCTCCACCAGGGATCTGAAGCCTATAGGACTGGAGTATACATATTTTTAATATTAACAGAACACCTAGAACAATACAACCCTGCCCATAGATGGAGTTAAAACATTAAATACAAATTAAAAATGAAAGAAATTCAGCTTGCTCAACAGGTACTTCTTTTTGAAATGTCCCAGAAACATGCTTTTAGTAGAAGAGGGTACTGCAAAGCTAAATTGTCATGCTTAGTCTAGTGAAATCACGTCTGGTAAGAAATGGCATATCTTGACTCTGGGGTGCTACCTTCACCATAGTTAAGGGGAGGAATATGGGCTGTATCAGCCTGGAATAGGCACAAAATATTTGTATGTGTAGTCGTGAGTTATGCAAGTTGCACAGAAAGCATGTGGGAGGTGCACGACAGAGAGAACAGGAGAGAAACCGAGTTGCTAGCCCATCTTTGCAAGCTGCTTTAAAATAAACTCTCTACTTCATATCAAGCTGTCTGTTCAGTGTCACCATAGTGATGCTGCTCACCAGCCACCAAAATCTGCTTCGCAGCTTCCTTCAGGAGTCCCATTGCCCAGAAGCTGTTGCTCCTGGAAGCATCCCTCCCTCACAGCCCAAAGGGGAAACCTGCCCTGACAAACCAGCCTTCGCATTAATGCCTCTGCTCACCAACCCGTGCACAGCACCCTTGCTCCTTGGCAGAATGATGCGATGCTGATACACAGACAGCAGTGTGCAGGCTGCAACGTCTGCAGAAGAAGAGAAGCACATTTGATACCCAAAGCTGTGTTTCTGGTAACTGTCTCTTTACAAAAAAAGGATTTGAACATGTAAAATAGGATGATCATGTTTTCCTGGAAAACAGGACTCTGCATACATGGTGCTACCCTACAGTTTCAAAGCCCCTGTGAAAAGCTCAGAGCCTCACAAGAATTGCCAAGTGGGAAGGTTAAGGTGTTTGGTGTAGGTGGGTGGCCCCCACCCATGGGCACCACTTACCGAGCAGTATGTCCCCAGATAGAGCAGGATCATGAGGCTGAGTCATCCTTGTCCCCACCATCACCTCCTCTCATATCCTTGGACACCTTCAGACCGATGTTCTCAACTCAAAGTGTCAAGGAAGAAACAGAAAAATGATCATGCCTATTCCCAATCCTCACCTTCTCCAATCACTCCTTGACTTCTGCTGGGACTGATCCTCTGCTGTGCCATCACTGATTTTGGTTTCTCTCAGCAGGGCAAGTATAACAAGCTTAAGTGACAAAATAGAGAAAACCTTTGCATTCTTTGCATGGAAAATCAGTTCTCTCTATAGCATCATTCATTTTACAGATACACTTTTTACGTACAATGTTGAAATTATTTTCAGTACTTTCCTAGACTTTATTGCTGACATATCAGAGACCTGTAGATCCCTAAGACACAGGTGTGATGCAAGGTGGAGGGTGATGCCATTTGCAGAACCCAGCACCTATGAAGGAGTCAGGGGATGAGAACAGCTTCCTTGCTGTTCAGGGTAAATCCACTGTAGCTGTAGGCATGTCCCAGGCAGGTTTTAGAAAACTTTTTAAAGGACCCTGTTTACAAGCTTTTGCTTTGGCAAAGTTAGTTGTTATTTGTAGCGTTGAAGGGCTGTTGAAAACAGGCTGGTTTTAATATGGCCTTATAAAGACTCACATAAAAGCCAGAAGGAGAAGTGGGAAACAAGAGAAGTTTATCGTTATGGTATCAAAGGAGCGCTGGAAAAGATTAAAGTTTGAATCTTGGCTGTGCTGATGACCTTCAGTAAATCATTCAGGAATAGGTTTGGAAAAGAGACCAGCTTGCTTAGGAAGTTTTTCAGTGTCAGTGCCTCCATGGGAACCAGGGGGTGCAGGGCATGGTTAAAAGCATGTTCTTCAATTCCTGAAGGGAAGCAGAGACCTTTTCAAAGTTTGCTGGTGATTGTGACTGCCAAGCAAATAAAAAACTGAACTTAGACTCCTGAGAATCTCATTTCATCTTTCTGTGCCTCTTTTTCCCTGAGCATAAAACAGAGAGAATAAATATTTTACCAGTCTTGTAAGGATAAATGTATGAATATTTGCTAAGATACAGTGGTGACAGAAGCTACAGAAATAAATAAAATGGATATTGCTTTAAAAAAAAAAAAAATCCAAAATCCCTTTTTTAACCAAACAGTGGATTAGTGATGAGAACAATGGAAGTTGGTCTGACTGTATTATTAACCACACAACCATTTATGTGACAAACACCACCTTTTTGTCAAATAATTATTTGCAATAGAATAGTATCACCATTTTATATCCCTGTATATGCTTGAATAATATTTTGTAAATTATAGTACTAAGTCTGACACAGAAAGTTGCTTCATTACTCCTCCTAACATTACCAGAAAATATATCTTAATAAATCACATGTGATCAATGAACTAGCTTACTTATAGATCGCTGAGGGATGATGAAGTTTGATTTCCATTGATGTATCCCTTATTTCTGAATGGAAAATTCTGCTGAGACAGCCTGCAGCTTAGACTACACGTTACTAAGATTTCAGAGAAAGACCTTTCACAGTGCATCTGACACATTACTGATTTATGAGAGAACAATGTTGGACTAAATATGAATAAAAAGCTCTCCTTTCACAAAATTTGATACAGAAACATTGAAATTGTACCAGGATAAAGAACTGCCTTGTAATAAGCAGGCTTATCCATCATTCAGTGTTAAATCTTAATTGTTGCTTTTGCGAATTTCTTTGTGTTAAGTGTTTCTAAATTATAACTAACCCTGAAACTTTAATAATTATATATACTCTGTTAAGAAAAATATAAGTATAGAAAGGAATTGTTAAAGTGATCTATTTTAATATTATCACATTTGATTTATGTGAGAATTTGTAGATCAAGGCAGCCACTTTGTCATACTTGAAGAGATATTGACAAGGAATCTATGGACAAATCATGCACCTATACTGAACATAGAGACTTTGTGTATGCATATTTAGTTACAACATTATCTTCACTCTAAGGCTTGATTGTTCTCCTTTTAAAGTCATTGGATAACTGTCTTGACCTTAATGAGAGTAAAACCATATCCTAAGTACATTTCTGCTCTGTTCTCTCCTTGATCTGAGCACTGAATTGCGATTAACATTAAAGAGAGCAAGTCTAGCTGTAAGCATTTTCATGCCCTGAGCAAACATCAAGTACAAGACTTCTCCTTGTCATGTCTTTTCTTTTTCTCTTTCATCTCTCTTTTTTTTTTTTTTTTTTTTTTTATTTTTATTTTTTGACTTAATTTGTTTGCAAGAGACTCTTTTGTGCCTTAAGGAGGGATGGTTTTGTGCGGGAGGGATGGTTTTGTGATTAAGGCTTTTGATGGAGAGTCAGGTTCAATTTCCAGGCCCTCCACATAATAACTGTCCTTGGTAGGTCACTTAGTAAAGTGCCTTGCAGAACTGAAATGCTAATAACTAAATGGACAATGGACTGCTCTCTGTTGGTGATGCCAACCAATATGAAATGGCTGAAACACTGTGACCACATCAAAACTGTTTATTAGGAATGGTCTCTGGTCTGTGCTTGTCCATGAACCATGCCCAGGCACCATTTAGAAAAGTGCTAGTTGACCTGAGTCAAAAACATCCCAGGGAGCATGTTAACATTTAAGTAGCATGACATGGACTTGATTACTTTTCTATTACAGACACAGCCTTCAGTTCTCTCCTGGTAAAACAGGGCTTCTCCTGTGTTTCAAACATTTTTCAGCCCAAAATCAGAGGTAAAGCACCAAGTGGTTTCTTCCATCCTCTCACTTCCTGCCCTAGATGAGCAGGTTGATAAAGGAAGGCAAGGCAGGTGGACTTCAACAAGAAACTTTGGATCTGAAGGCCAAATGTTGAGTTCAGCAAAAACTAACAGCAAAGAGGTAACACTGAGAGTGCTATAGCTGAAAAGGATAGTAAGTAGTGTGCAAACAACAGAAAAAAGAAAAATTTATTAAGGGAAGGTTGGAAGCAGCTGGAGACACATAGGAATGAGATTCCTATGACTCTGATGAGTGAATAAGACTCCAAGTCCAGAAGAGAGAGAGGATACAATAAGAGAGGAGGGTACAAGAATAATGTCAAAAGTGGTCTTTGTTCTTGCAAAATGTAAAACATTGTTGAGCAGTGGTCAGCATCAAATATATCACCCCATATGTCTGTGGTCTTTGTTCATAGCTGCCATAGTAGATGCTTAGCCTGTAATCAGTTATAGAGCAAATGGAATAAGGTGCTCTATAAGAATGCAAGATAAACTTATTTCTTATTTTCTATGTTATCCAGCAATCCCTTCACACTTCTCTTGAATATTTTATTCATGAAAGTTTTCTAACAGCTCACATCTCCTTTTGCCTTTTCTGATTCCTTCCATTTCTTCTTTAGAGGTCCAGTGGAAAGACTTGTTGGCTTGTTCTTCACTGGTTTGTGGGGCAGCACTTCAAATTTGACAATGGACCAGGACTGAAGAGCACTTTAGTTCCCACCAATGTTTCTTAGAGCTGCTAAAACAGGACCAATGAAGATGTTCACCAGACTCCAAGTCCTTGCGCTAGCTTTGTTTTCCAAAGGAGTTTTCCTTTCCCTAAGTGACCACAGCTTTGTAAGGAAGGAAATTAAGATAGAAGGAGACCTGGTTTTAGGTGGCTTATTCCCAGTCAATGAAAAAGGCACTGGGATAGAAGAATGTGGGAGAATCAATGAAGATCGAGGCATCCAGCGCTTGGAGGCCATGTTGTTTGCCATTGATGAAATCAACAGAGACAACTACTTGCTGCCCGGAATTAAACTTGGAGTTCATATCTTGGACACATGTTCCAGGGATACATACGCCTTAGAACAGTCTTTGGAGTTTGTCAGGGCATCTTTGACTAAAGTGGATGAAACAGAATATATGTGCCCTGATGGCTCATATGCTATTCAAGAGAATTTACCATTGCTCATTGCAGGAGTCATAGGCGGTTCCTATAGCAGTGTCTCCATACAGGTAAGTCACAGGATCCTCATCAGGTGAGAATTGTTTGTCTGCAACTCCTGTGAGAGAACATAAGCTTACATAAGTTTGTCAATAAATCAAGTCTTAGCTCAATCACTTTACTCTAAGGGTCAATCTAACACATATTTTTTACTGAATTTAGTTTGATTCACTCTTTAAAACTTCTGCTGTAGTTTAAATCTCTAGCAACTGTCCACTTCCTCTAGTTATTGTGTATCCTGAGGGCATCTGAAGTTTCCAAAAGTCAGAATTTATTTGGAACTTTACATTTCATTAGACTTTTACAATTATAAGTTCAGATCTCTTCTTTCACATCAATAATAAATTATACCACTTATATTTCTGAATATATGTATGCCTGTCATGCTGCATGTACATAATATTTGTCATTTAATCAATAGAGATTTAAAATGAAAGAAGAAATCCTTATCTTACTTCCAGGATGAAATAAAGCAAAAATGGATTACTAGCTAGAAATTTGAATTATGCCTGACCCAAAGGACTGAAGGTTTTTAGCGTCTGATTAAGCATACCAAAGCAAATAAAAATTATTCTGCTGATCTCAGTGAGCAAGGTCTCAAATATCCTATGCAGGCAGTACAGTTTCTGAATGAATTCTAAATTTGTTGTATTTCCTTTTGTTTCTATATAGTTCATACTAAGACAGATTTTGCCAGGAAATGTTGTCTGGCAGAGTGCAGTGTAAGCACAGTCAGATGCCCAGCACAGAAGAGAGATGCCCTCCCGTATATCTTGTTCCCTTCTTCTGGTACATTGTACCTGCAGCTTTCGGTTTTACAATATTGGTCCCAAATAGGGCCTCAGCAGCATGTTGGAGAGTATTTAGTGTCTTGCAGTGGTGTAAAGTTGCAGATGGGTTAAATTCTCTGCATATCCTTCCAACTACAATTTTATTGCATGCTTGGTTTATGTTGTAAGGGGCTAAACACAGTGTTGATTTCTTTTGGTCTTAGCTCCCCATTTTTTATAAATTCATGATAAAACTTTAAGGGGTTTTGACATTTTTTCCATTAAATGAACATGAAGAATATATATGTCCTCTTTTTTAGCAAAAATTCTGTATTTCTCCTCTCCAGACCATGTAGTCCTATGGCACTGCAGCCTCCGATGTTCTATCTTTCCCTGCCACTTTCAGTGTGCACTATCCACAAGCAAGCACATTCCTAAGTTCACTGAAGTTTTCATATCTACATATATCTCATTATTTTGGGTTAAATTAAATAAACCAGTCCACATGACTCATAACCTCACATGAGTGCTGTTTTAAGCCCAGATTCAAGTAAGCTAAGATCTTGCATCTAGTATTCCATAATGGTCAGCTGTAGGTTTCCAAATGCACCAAGCCTTGACAGTGCTGGACCACTATAAGCAGTATGTTTTTCCAGACATAGTACAGGACCTAATTACTACATCTGTGTAAAAGGAGAAAAATGTTCTTCTGTACTACAGCAGTGACAGAAAACCCACAGAGCTTCATTTACCTGTTTCATAAACAGGCCAAGAGTTCATCCAATGCTCATTTCAGTCTGAATTACATTGGGGAACTGGCTACTATTCTTTTTAAGGCATTAAATCCCATCAGCGTTGAAGCATGGCCAATTTCCATCAGACATGCATGAGCACAGAAGTATTTCAATGATTTTCATTGTATTCCCTTTTGTGTTCCAGTGTGTGGCTTGTCTGTGTATCCATAGTAGGAAATACATGAGCAAATGGTTACCCATACCACAGGAGAATAGTTTCTGCAGAGCAGGACCTCAGCCACATCTCGTATTAGGAGTGATTTTATCCCACTGTGGACAAGTTAGCACGGCAGGGATGTATCCTTTACCAGTTACATGGATCTGATCACTTGGAACACAAAGAACAAGTTCCAGGGCTGGAAAAGAGACATCTGAAGAGGAAAAATGGTAGCTACGGAATTGTTTCTTCCAGCCAGACAAAGAGTATATCAAATGAAACCAGCAAGTGGCAGGTTCTTGTGGATGGTAAAAACTAAATGAGTTCAAGAAGTGACTGAAAAAAATCAGAAAATTCTCTACAGATAACACCTCTGGCTCAACAATTCCCAGAACTGCAAGTATCTCAATGCTGGTAAAATATTTTGAAATATCATATGCTTGTCCTATTTCACTGGTGGAGAGGTGGCAGTGGTTTTGTTGTACCTTTAGTCTAGTCATTTGCAGTCAGTCTATTTCTCAGTCTACCCTAAACTCAAGTGTGTCCAAAGGACATGAAGTAGCCTAAAAGGCACATCCAGCTGAGGAAATGGTTCATGTGGTTCCTTTCCTCCCAGAAACCCTGAGGCAGCCACGCCACACTCCTAAGATGGCCTGGGGCCTCTTGCAGAACTTCTGTTGGTTTGTTCCTTTGAAGCCAGTCGCTGGTGATTGCTGACATAAGACTAAATCCATATCTGAGGCAGCAGGTTGGATGAAGTACACAATGAATATACATGGTATATAAAGATGCTTCATATTCCAAATGCTTGGGTTTAGAGCAGCTTTCAGAAATTAGAAGTCCTGATAAGAGAATTTTTCATTCAGTATACGTGAAAAATGACAACATATCTGTATGCGTATCTGTATGTCACCCAGTTTTCAAAACTTATGAGGAATGATGAAACAATAGTTATATATAATATTGTTATATCTAATATCTATATCTGTGCAGTTACCCTGTAGTTAACAGTAGTTGTTCAAATGTAAGATCTTTCTTACACAGTTCTTCAGAAAAATAAATAGGTTCACAAGTCATTCAATACGTCGTCAAGCATTTTCCAGCTAGGAAAGAAGCATTCAGTTGATTACTTTCCCTTGACATAGATTGGGTTGGCGTTCCTTCAGTCTCTCTTTTCTAGCTTTCCTCTAGATTTCACACTATCTAGGAAAGATGTAATTAAGCTATTCACTCCTGCTCATCTTGTTAAGATAGCCAGTAACGACTTCTGTTTCAAAAGAAAATCCTTGTCAAGAATAACAGCCATCACAGACTCAAGCCTGAAGATGTAAGGACATCAAAGAATTAAAGCCACTCAATTTGGTGCCACACCAGAAGAGACTACCAAATTTCAGAGACAGTCACCTGTACAGAGTAGCTCTAGTAGCAACTAAAATTGCACTTCAGCAGGCACGTGTGCAAGGCTGAGCATCCCCATTCCCCGTGCTTTCAAACAGCACTCAGGGTGCTGGATGCTTCCAGATGTAGATTTGCCAAGCATTTATCTTTAGCCTGAGAGCTGTAAACCTCATAAAGTCCACAGCACAGTTTCTTAGCCTCAAAATAAACCATGCTGAGCTCTTCAGACAATAAATTATTTCTGCATATTTTTTTTCTCCTGTGAATTTGCTGTTGTATTTCAATGCATTTTCTTTCCCTCCTTTCACCCTCCCTCTCCAGATTTTTGTCTGGACAGCTGTCTGCCAAATCACTTCATGATGCTCCTGCTGTCAGATTTCTGCTTCTTTCATTATCCTTCCACCAAGGAAAAAAGAATTTGCTGGTAAATCAGGAACGAACACCTTCCCCACTGAGTCAGTATGCGCAATAGGCACTTTTTGCAGAGTCTAAAAACAACAAGAGAATGCAAAATGCTTAATTATTTTCTGGTCAGACTAGGCTATTATCGTTAATGATGATCTGGATAATTAGTTTTCAGATGTTGTGTTTAAATTAGCAGTGAGCCCAATCTGCACAGTATTTGATTCCTTAAAACCCAAGCCAGGATTCTCAGTCAATGGAAGGACTTGTGTGGAAAAAGCTGTTTTCATGAAATAAAATTCTGACCTGAGCTGAATCTCTGATCAGAAGGTAAATTCTCCAAAGTTTGTAGGACTTAATTTTGGGTTCATGGAATTTAATTTGAGCCAAATTATCCACTCTCTCCTAGTTTACAACAGAAATTTCAACCATAATTTCCTTGGAGATGTTCAATGACATTGTAAAAAGGATAAGAAAAAAGCACTGTTCGTTTGCACAGAGAAGCACCTGCATAACGAATCCATGTGTCATGTTTAAAACACCTAGGACAGCTCCATCAGGAATATCCATGTGTAAGCAGGAATACAATTATTTAAGTGCTGGATGTGTTCCTCTCTGTTTCTGAAAACTGGATCCAACTTCTGAAAATGAAGATTAGGGTCCATTAACTGCAGTCAAGTCTTAAAAACTTTAAGATATTCCCGTAGGTGGGCTGGGCTTTGTATTTCCATATCCAGTATATTCATGTTGATGTAGAGTTTTAGCCCTTCATAAAGTTTCCTTTATGCTATCCACCCACAAGACCTCCAGATCACAGTCATGAAAGTTATTCCCATGTTAGAGCCTCATCGAGAAAAAAATGGCAGAATAGAAACCAGTACCCAGTTGTCTTCTCTTGAATTCCTTGCTCTGTCTCAAGTAAACTGTAGCAAAGCCACTGGAGAAGACTTAAAGGTACATTACTGCTATCACAAAAGCTAAAGCCTCTCTCTTCCTAGTTGAGTGGCCATCTGGGATGAAACTCAGAATATGCACTCATTTACTGGCAATCTTTTCCTGGCTGTGATTTCTCCTTAGCCACAAAAGTCTGCCAAGGGCTCATGGATCCTGAAAGCTAATCACCTCTATTTCCTTCCTCCAAAGATAAATTATCTTCCAACCAGCGTCTTAACAATAGTTAATGACTTCCATAACCACTGAAAATAGTGCAAAATTCTTAGAAGAACTACATGCAAACCCTCCTCCCCATAACATACGGGGCTTTGTCCCCCTGTGCATGGACCCGATAGGGATATGGGCAAGAGAAATGTGCAGGGGGATTCAGGGGCTCACCAGGGACTACAGGCCATGTATGTCATTTCTGCCATCCTTGCAAAGAAGCTTTGCATTCAGCTGTGCAACAACAGTCTCTGGTGAATTTGTGCTTGTAAAACTAAACCAGATCCTTTTTAAAAGATCTGTTCTGTGAGATGGACCACCTACTACTAGCA